CTTTATCGCTCTCAACAATCTCGACAGACGTGAAACATCCTTTCCCTCAAGAGAATCCTACAAGCCACACCAGTTCTTCGTCATGTCATTGACGTCAATAGCCTGTCCTCAACCTACCGGTTTTGACTACCGCACTTCCTAGTGCTATTGACCTCAAGTTTCCTGTACTCACTGACCGTTCCCCCTCGCCCTTAGTCACACACCATATATGGCCTTAATCGCTCTCCACTGCTCCCATTGGTCCGTTCTCCCTAACCACCCCCCCTGCCTACTTCGTATATAAGCAGCACCTTCCACATCCTATCACCACAGCTACTGCTCTCCGCAGCTATTCAACTGCTCTGAAGATGGAGGCGCTACGTTCCTCCGAAACGTCGGCCAAAACGAAGAATACACGGTGCCTAAACCCAGAAGACAACTTTCTTCATTCTTCTAAGTTATTCCAAATTCTTAGTGTAATTGAAATATACTTGCAAACTGCTACATATTACAATCTACATTTGATGGGCTTGCTGTGTTAAGTTCACTCTAATCTCAGGGACTACAAATCACTCTTTGCTGCCTAAAAGATGTAAGTTAACAGTGGCAGAAACAAGTCAAAAGAAACGAAACTGTATGCAGTGTGTTATTCAAAAATCTACCTTAATGATCACTACCTAGAACCTCACATGAGTCTGATTAATGTGACAATGCCTCTCCTGCCCCCACTGCATAACCTGACATAAGCTAACATGCTATAGTCCTTGAGATGAAACCTTTACCAGCTGAACATCACCACTATGATACGTGAACTCAGAAAACTGATCACTGACACATCTACCATCAGCTAGCCATAAGCAGTGAACAAGGATTAGCTGTTGGGAAGAACCTGAGAGAACAGATGCCGACTGAGGTAGCAAGACCACTGACAAGCTACAGCTCGATATATTTTTATCCATGGTATCAAATGGAGCAGAGGTGCAACTGTTCTATTTGCAGTCTTATTCAGATTGGCATTGCAACCAACCCGCATTCTATCCGATAGGTATAGGGACTGTCTCCTTGAAGATTAAGGAGCTCAAGTATTATACTGACCACACCCATCTCAGGATAATCCTGAGGTCTTAAATGTGTGAAGTACGTGTTTAGGGTGTGGTGCTCAGGCAGAGGGGCAATTCTCTTACTACTGAAATCATACCTCTTCTCTGAGCATCTTGGATGCTGATGGCTGCAGCCTTAGGAGAAGGGGTTCAAAGAAAGTACGTGACCTCTTCTCACTGTCTGCTTTTAGTGCCTGAACCTGTAACAATATCATTTCAAAACATTTAAACATCTTCATTTTCATAATGTTGTTTAGTTTTAGTTATCTGTTGTTACACACAGAAGGAACAAATATGGAGGACTGTGTCATATTCTGAAAATACTATGGTCTACATTAATCTAAACAGGCTGAGGAGAACATGAAAATCTCATTGAAACTATATTATCACACATATTTTCATCCATTTTTTAAAAAAATACCTTTAGGTGCTGAGGGGTTCAAACTGAACAGCTTTCAAAGGTGTTTTACCTCATTATAAATATATGCATTTGGGGGCAAATCTAATCTCTTTTACTGAGACTCACCATATTATCCTAGGACTTGGGCTACAGTATATAAAATTGCTCAACAAACTCCATGGAGTTGAGGCCTTCTTCAGAAGCCCCCAGCTACTCAGCTTCTCAAGAACTTCACAATATTTTACAGAACCGAAAGGTTCATTACTGAGTTAACAAGAGCCCTCCAATAGTTCCTATCCTGAGCCTGTTGAATCCATTCCATGCCACCCCATCCTCTTCTCTAAGATTCATTTTAATATTATCCTACACCAACATCTAGGTCTTCCTAGTGGTCTCTTTTATTCTGGCTTTTCCATCAAAATCCTATATGCATTCCTCTTCTCCTCATACATGCTACACACAGTGCCCATCTCACCATCCTTGACATTATCATTCTAATTATATTTGATGAAGCATACATGTTGTGAAGCTTATCACTACATAGTTTTTTCCAACCTCCTACAATTTCATCCCTCTTTGAACCAAACAATCTCCTGTGTTAAATAAATGTAACGTCTTTCCTCAAAATGCTTGTTGGTTATACACCAAATCCCATTAAAGTAACAAAACAGTGTACATATCTGGACATCATAATACTGTGGCATACACACCCACTGCTAAGTGGTGACTCTGTAAACAGCAACCATTTCTGTGCAACAGCTCAATAAACAAATTCCCATTGCTAGGCAGCAGATTCTTAATAACACAACAGCTGGAAGCAAGAGTAGAAGAGCTGTGTTTTCTATGTGGCCTGGCCTGAGATTTTATATGCAAGGGACAAAGTTAGTTGTTAGGCAGAATGGGGGTGGACAGGGCTGAGTAGTGAGTCAGGAGAGAGGTTTTGACGGTGACACAGGTCGTTGATTCATTAGTTCAAGTGTTTGTCCACTGCTTGTGTGCGTGAGACTGTGGGTCGAGATTACTGGCAGTTAGGTGTGTGTTCGCATCGATTGTAGCTGAACAGTGTAGAGTGAAGGCTAGAGTTCCGTAGCACAAGAAACGGAACCAGAGTCATTACGAAAGGCATGGCGGATCTCGAAGCCATCAAGTCACATTTCACCAACAATAACCTAGCCTATTATTCCTTCTTCCCAAAATCCCAGAAGCCTGTTAAGGCAGTAATCCGACATCTCCCCATCAATACCCCTACATAGGACATTTCGGTAGGTCTGGAAAACCTGGGCTTCGATGTTGTTAGCGTCAAGCAAATGACAACCCGTCGATCCCAACCTGAAGAAGCAACAACCAGGAACCTTCTCTTATTCCTGATAACCTTACAGCAGACGGCAAAATCACAGGAAATATTCAATCTGCCAAGCCTTTGCCACATATCAGTCAAGGTGGAGACGTATAGAGCTCAGACTGGACTTATGCAATGTCATAACTGTCAACAGTTTGGCCACGTCTGGGCCAACTGTAAACAACCTCCACGCTGTTTGTGGTGCGTAGGCGGCCACCTGCACAAGGAATGCCCAGAGAAGGGAACTGCTGCTTCCACCCCAACATGCTGCAACTGCCACTTGGCAGAGGGAGACAAGCCACATCCGGCCAACTATCGGGGCTGAAGACACGCCAGGGAAGAGCTGCAAAAGAGGAAGGCGAAGAGTACACCGAAAACTGCTACGTAGAGGGTGTTCTCATCGAACCTCATCACCCCCGGCGTGTCCTTGGTTGTGGCACTACAAGGCAACGCAGAACAACAGTGACCACAGGCAAACCCCGCTCCAATGGCTTGCCCTACAGTAACAAAACAAAATGTACCAGCCCCTGCATTGCAGAAAGATACAGGTCAGTCAGTTCAGGCTCCTCATGCAAATAGTCAACCTCTTGACAATATGTTGAGGGTTGTGACTGCAGTACAGCAGATCACGACAGAGATCAATGGTGCAATGTCTGAAGAAGACAAAATAATGGCCATTACAAAAATTGTATTAAATCTCAGGAAACAAAATGGCCACTGCAGTTCATAGGCCACTCAAAATCATAGCATTTAATGCAAATGGCATTTGGAGGCAGCGCTATGAGCTCAGTAAACAGCTGCAAGACCTACGCATAGATGTGGCCCTGTTTTCAGAGACACATCTGAAACCTCATGAGATTCTTTATTCCAAAATACCACATTTATAGAACCGACCGCCACTCAGGCAGAAAAGGCGGAATTGCCGTTGCAGTTAGGAAAGGCATCCCCCATAACCATGTAGATCTACCGCCCCTTATTTCAGTAGAAGCGACAGGGGTCTGAATACCAATTGGTAACAGTGAAGTACTGCTTACAGCTGTTCATAAATCCCCAGGCAGGCCCTGGAGTGATGCTAACATCACAGAGCTCTTAAGCTTTAGACATAAGTCTATTTTGACAGGTGATCTGAATGCTAAGCAAGCCAAAAAAGAAGGATACATCACAAGACACAATACACACAAAATATAGGATGAATGACTCCCATAGAGGAAGAATGACGTAGTACGTGAGTTTGAATTATGACGTGTAAGATGATGGAAATTAACAAATTTTGATATATACAAATTTTATTACAATTTTATTATAGTTAGTGAAGAGTGTGCGTTTTAGATAATTTTATAAATGACACATGATGGCGAGCAATGTAATAGCTTGACGTAAATATCACACCTGAAGATGGCACAGCGATGCCGAAACATGTAGTGAAGTGACATGTGAAATTGAGTGCACTACAAGATGGCCAATATACATATCATGTACAAAAATGTATTGAAGAAAGAGGCCTGATCAACGCAAGCCAGTTTGGTTTTTGTGTACGTCACAGCACGACATTGCAATGTACGAGGCTGGTGGACCATGTGTCCCTTAATTTCAACAAAATGTCTATGGCCACCGTCTTCTTGGACATCGAAAAAGCCTTTGTTACCACGTGGCATTCAGGCTTGCTGTATAATATTATATTTAAGCATCCTGTTGCACTCCATACGATAAATGATATAACGATAAAAACTCCGTCTCAAGTGCAAACAATATATTTTGTGTCTTTGATCTTGTTCACCCACACTACATGTTTCGGCCTCAGACGGACATCAACAGGTGTATAACACTCACGTCGCTGTCACACTGCACCCAGCTCAAAATTTAACATTTAAAACACTTTCCTTGTTATTATCAACTTCACTTCGTTGATAACTGTCTGGTTTGTAGATTATTTTATCTTACACACGTTAATTTTGACTTTGTTGTAATAGCACTATAATAAAATCTTTAGTTCTAATTTTAAAACCTTTAAAATTCTTTCCTAAATTTTAAATTTTTAAATTGTTAGGGTTATTCGCCCTATGTTTAAAGTGCTGCAGCGGCTAGTTCTTGTTACCACACTGTATAGGTGTTATCTAGTGAAGTCTTTCTGTGTGTGTGCTGCTGCTATTCTTTACTATGTGTATGTTGAGACGGAGTTTTTATCATTATATCATTTATCTTGCTGTATAAGTTATCAAAATTGGAATTCTCGAACAGTTTGACCAAACCTATTGGGGCCTTTCTTTCTCAACGTAAATTTAGGGTTTCAGTTGAAGGCCAATGTCAAC